GAAAAACGCAGAGAGAACGAAATAGCTGGGCAGCTAGCCGAGATTCTGTAGGAAAAACGGGAAAGAGCCAGCTAGATGAGCTTTAGCAGAAGGTAGGCTAGCAGAGATTCTTTAGGAGAGGGCAGGTTCTTAGGAAACGACAGCATACCCATTTCTAAATCTAGACCGCCCTACCGTACCCACATACGCACCGATGCGTGAATTCGGGGCCGAACCGCCCCGAGTTTGGCTGTGTAAGGGGGGAAGGAGGAGGACAAGGGTGAACGGGGCATCATAAAAAAGTGTCGTCCAGATCATCGAAGAAGGAAAAGAAGAGAGCGGAATCGAATAAAAGCAATGATCACGAGGGGGGAAGGAGGGGAGGATGAACGGCGCCAATGGAGCGGAAGGGGTACGGTAGACAGGGGGACAAAGATACCCCCAGCCTCTACCTTCATTCCGTTCCATTCCATTCCACACTACCAGATCCTACGCCCCGGAATGGAGACCGCATCGAATCAGGTATCTTTTTGACGGTTTTAAGGGACCGGATGCCTCCCAAATGATCTCTGCTAGCATGCCCTCCCTCTCTCAATTCCCAAATGGTCTCTGCTAGCTAATTTCATTCTAGGCTTGTTTCGAATGTGCAGTTTGTGGTGCCTCGGCGAAGGGATTCCACTTCGGAGCTTTTACCTGTGAGGGCTGCAAGGTACCGTATTTTTTATGAAAAAGAAATACATAATACATAAAAAGATATTAAAAATCCAGATACTTTAATTTTCATGAAATATCGTTTTTTTTTCAGTCATTTTTCGGACGCACTTCACTGCGAAAAGAACGTCCATTAATGTGCCGAGCCGGTGGCAGCTGTGATGTTCAGGTATGTCGTTTTTGTTTTGCTCTTTTTATTTATGCAAATTTAGGGCGAAAATCGAACGGCTTGCAAAGCGTGTCGATACGAGAAGTGCCTACGGGCAGGGATGTCGCCGATGAGTTGGTTTTTATCACTTTTGGGCCCCTTTAAAAGCTAAACAAAAACCCACGAATTTTTCGCAATTTTTGAGTCATAAAAATATCTTAAAACTGGCGATTTTGCGTAGATTGAAGTGAGAAGTCACGTCAATTTTTAAGCCATTTTAACAGTTAAAAGGTTACATTAATTTTAACTACTTTTTGCATGAAAAATTGATGTACTTTCTTGCCTAAAAACGGTCTCTCAAACAAAAGATTAACTTAGGCCTTGAAGGCTAAAAATCACAATTTTTAAAAATGTATCCTGAATTGAAATTAAACTAACGGGTTCCAAAAAGTAGTTTTTTAAAACATTCTAATTTTCAATTTTTTTTAGAGGCGCAAGTAGATTTTTACCTAAAAAAATATGTATAAAGTAACTTGAAATAGAATGTTGTTTATTAATACTTTAATTAATAAAACAAATGTATATCTAGCATTTAGATTCCCGTTTCGGACGTCGTTCAAAGTACTTCAAAGTGTCGGCCGCCCTGTCCGTCTCCAGATTCTCCTCTCAACGTGATGATCAACCTCTTACTCCCTCTTCTTGTCCCTCCACATCCGATGCCCCATCTACCGTACTCTCCCCACCATCAGCCCTTCTCCCTCATCAATCTCTCTCCTCTATATTCCCTCCAGCTCCTGTCTATCAAATGCTCGTCTACCGTAACCTTTTGCAACATATTTTTGCGTTGCCAAAGCTACCGTAACACTCTATTTGCCGTATTTTTTGTAGTTTAATATTTTCATACATTGTAATTGTATATGTCATTTTTTGAGAAAAATATATGTTTTTGGGGGTTTTATCCGCTGTTAAAAAAATCGACGAATTCCGCGGGGCGCCTAATTGCGATACTTCCGCCCCCAGCCGGAGGCATCGAATTTCAGCGTGATTTCTGGGTTTGTTTCGGGTTTTATAAATGCCAGCAAATACACATGTCATGGCATAATTACAAGACGTAATGCACCTTTTTTGGCTTTGAGGTTTTTTTCGGATTTTTAGGGGCCGAATAAGAGTTCAAAAACGGCTTCTGCTGGCCCTAAAGAGTCCTCCTAAAGAATCCTCCTAAAGGATCTCTGCTAGCCTGCCTTCTCCTAAAGAATCTCTGCTAGCCTGCCTTCTCCTAAAGAATCTCTGCTAGCCTGCCTTCTCCTAAAGAATCTCTGCTAGCCTGCCTTCTCCTAAAGAATCTCTGCTAGCCTGCCTTCTCCTAAAGAATCTCTGCTAGCCTGCCTTCTCCTAAAGAATCTCTGCTAGCCTGCCTTCTCCTAAAGAATCTCTGCTAGCCTGCCTTCTCCCTAAAGAATCTCTGCTAGCCTGCCTTCTCCTAAAGAATCTCTGCTAGCCTGCCTTCTCCTAAAGAATCTCTGCTACCTGCCCCTTCTCTTTCTAGTGCTTGAACCGTCTGCTTGTTTGTGGTGTTGTGTGGTACAATCGCGAATCTGATGGGCAAACAGCTACGCGACACTCCTCCCGTTGACACCTCCTGTAAACAATAGAGAAGAAGAAGCCGGGTGGTGTGGACCCCCTAGGGGGAGATTTAGCCACGGTCTCTTTGATACCCACCGACAAGGCCGGACACAAAACTTTTGTCTTCGGAAAAGGGGAAAAACGGTTTTTTTCGGGTTCTCTTCCCAGTGAAAACCAACCGGAAGAGGTTCGCTTGTTTTAAGGGGACGGGTAAGGGTTAATTTGCTATGTTATGTTGAAATATCATCATGTCGAAATATCAGTGCCTCTTTTCCATTCCACTACTATGTATATGGCCATTACGATATGAAAACTGGAAGTGACCGTTTCTTCATCCCTTCAACTAGTCCACCCGTACTCCGCGGTCTAATTGGAAAACCTCGAGCTCAATTTGCATGAGCTGGGCTTGGGGAGAGCGGAATGTCATCTACAGGGAGGAGGAGTACGCTACTTTCCGCAATTGAAGGATTGCCGTCGTGGAATTGAAGGTGTTGACATGATGTCCTGTGAATGGCACCATTGTACTGGAAATGACAGAAGTTTTGATGAATTTTTCAGGAATCTCTGCTAGCCTGCCTGCCTTATCAAAAAATCTTTGTTAGCCGGCCAAATTTCCAAATTTTAACGAGTTCCCCGGCTGGTCCGATTGTAATTAGTTGCGTCCCGTTCCCCATATTTCATGGCCAATCATGTATGGGTTCAAATTGTGGGATTTCTCTTTTTCTCTCTCTCTCTCTCTCTCTCTCTCTTTTTCTCTCTCTCTCACTCTCGCTCTCTCTCTCTCTGGCTCTCGCTGTCGCTCTCCTTCTATGACTCACTTTGTCCCCCAGGATTGTTGTCATCGCAATGGCCATTCCAAAGGGGCTACCTGGCAACCGGATGTCCGAAATGGGCCCTCTGGCCCTTAGGGCCCACCGCTTCGAAGCGAGAGACAGGGAGAGAGAAGGAGCCTTTGAAATCGTCGGCTTCACCTTGATTGCTTCCCACACATGGGAAGGAAGTGGCGGCCATTGAGACCCATTGATTATCGCCAGAATTTAGGGCTAATATGAGGGAGTGGGGCAGCTAGCAGAGACCATTTGGGAATTTGGACTAAAGAGAGGGCGCCGCCTAGCGTTCTCCTCAAGGATCTCTGCTAGCTGGCCCAAATGGTCTCTGCTAGCCTGCCCTCCCTCTCTCAATTCCCAAATGGTCTCTGCTAGCCTGCCCTCCCTCTCTCAATTCCCAAATGGTCTCTGCTAGCCTGCCCTCCCTCTCTCAATTCCCAAATGGTCTCTGCTAGCCTGCCCTCCCTCTCTCAATTCCCAAATGGTCTCTGCTAGCCTGCCCTCCCTCTCTCAATTCCCAAATGGTCTCTGCTAGCCTGCCCTCCCTCTCTCAATTCCCAAATGGTCTCTGCTAGCCTGCCCTCCCCTCTCTCAATTCCCAAATGGTCTCTGCTAGCCTGCCCTCCCTCTCTCAATTCCCAAATGGTCTCTGCTAGCCTGCCCCTCCCTCTCTCAATTCCCAAATGGTCTCTGCTAGCCTGCCCTCCCTCTCTCAATTCCCAAATGGTCTCTGCTAGCCTGCCCTCCCTCTCTCAATTCCCAAATGGTCTCTGCTAGCCTGCCCTCCCTCTCTCAATTCCCAAATGGTCTCTGCTAGCCTGCCCTCCCTCTCTCAATTCCCAAATGGTCTCTGCTAGCCTGCCCTCCCTCTCTCAATTCCCAAATGGTCTCTGCTAGCCTGCCCTCCCTCTCTCAATTCCCAAATGGTCTCTGCTAGCCTGCCCTCCCCTCTCTCAATTCCCAAATGGTCTCTGCTAGCCTGCCCTCCCTCTCTCAATTCCCAAATGGTCTCTGCTAGCCTGTCCTCCCTCTCTCGATTCCCAAATGGTCTCTGCTAGCTTGCCCTCATCTCCAAGAATCGCCGCTAGCCTGCCCCAAATTTCTTGCCCGTTGGAAGCCCGGAATGGAAATTTGTGGGTGGGCGTGGCTTCGGCAGACGAGAGAGTACCCAAAGGTGTAGAGGACAGAGACGCAAACATAGAATGTGGGTGGGTGGTTGTGGTGGCAGTCTTCTCGAGATCGCCCCCAATTCCTATAGCTTTTCCTTAGTGTTGATTTCCCAGAAAAATCTCTGCTAGCCTACCTTTGCAATTTTCCAGATTCATTGAATTCTACCGCATTAAAAATTTCTATTAACCACTTTCAGATGACATGACCCTGTTCCAATTTCTCCTTCTGCTCTGCGCCATATGGCCCACTGGGGCTCTTGATATATTCTGTGGATCGCTTACCGTATACGAGCAGCAGAGATTCGGCTCGAATGCCATTAATATTTCTTCGCAGGCGACGGATGACCTGAAGCAGTGTTTGGAGCTGTGCTGCAATATTCCCAGTACGTCTTTGACCAAATTACGTTCCGGAAATCGCTATAAAAGTGGGCCTAAATTCCATAAGTATCCTTGCTAGCTTGCCTGGTCGCCAGTGAGAAATTTTTCCTCCAAAATCTCTGCCAGTTTTCCCGTCAATTCCCCAAGAATCTTTGCTGATCCATTTTTTGACAAGAACTTTCCCAAAAAAACGGCGGGCCTGGCTTTTTCCTAAAGAATCTTTGCTAGCCTGCCTTTTCTTAAGAACCTCTGTTGGCTTACCTGAAAATTCTTCAAAAACCTGCTATGCTGCCCTCAAATTTTCTCAAGAATCTCTGCTGGCTATCCCCAAACTTCTAGCCTCAATTTCTTCGAGGAAATTTCTCCAAAATCTATGCTAGCTTACCTTGGGGGCTCTTCAATAACTTTCTAGCCTGCCAGCACATCCTCAGAGGAGCCAGCTTTCAGCGTTTCCTCAAGCTTCCCTGCTAGCTGGCCTCGAAAATTCCTCAATAGTTTTTGCTAGCTAGTCGTTAATTTCTTAAGAATCGCTGCTAGCTGCCCTTCCTACCTTTATTGTCCCTGCCAATCTGCCCCAATATGCCTGGAGGCTATTTCCTGCCAACATGCCCCGTTATTAGACCTGGGATACGTCGTAATTAGTCCTGATCGGCATAGCTTTCGGGTCGAACGGGTTGGGAGGGTGGACCAGGTGGCCATAGAGAGAGAGGGAGAGGGACCGAAAGGCGGAGAGAGAGAGTCTTGGGGACACCGTGGGACTAGGGTAATTAGAACTCAGAAAGGGCTGGATAGGGTTGGTTTTGGTACAGTAGAGGGGCAAACTAGCAGAGTCCATTGGTCGGTTTCACTTGCCCTTTGAATCCCCCGTTCCCCGATTCGTGTCCCATGAGACGACGTAATGGGTTGTGAAGTGGACTGAGACTATGAGAAGAGATTATGTTCTTGAATGGTTGTGGGGGGATGGTGGAAGATTGTTGTGTTGAGAGAGTGCACACCACTTGGCATAAGGGCCCTCTCTCCCTCTAGACATCTCTCTCTCTCTCTCTCTCTCTCTCTCTCCCTATCTCTCACTATCGCCTCCACACACTCATACTAACATTACGTATTGGTGGCCATGGTCCGGCTGGTTGTCAAGACAAGACTAAACGGAGTTTGGCTAAAGTGATTGGGAAGGCAGGGTCACGATCCGAAATGGTCTTTGCCAGCCTGCCATCAGGCTAGAAAATGGTCTGCGCTATAAATTTCTCAAACAGCCTCCGCTAGCCTGCCGTCACTCTCTCTCCCTCACTCTTTCTCTCGCTCTCTCTCTCTCTCTCCCTACCTACCCTACTCCGGTCACATTTATAGCGGCACCAATAAAACCCCTGGCATTCGACCAATTTCACCTGAGAAATTTGCAACCCACAGCCATGGGTCGAGAGCAATAAATCTCACTGCCGGTTTTCCGCCCCAAGGAAAGGCAAATCGAGATCGAGACCGAGGGAGAGATGGAGAAGGAGAGAAAAGTGGACTACGCGGGATGCCTCTTGACGGCATATTATAAGGAATTGGAGGGCGCGAAGGAGACGGTTTCCCTTTCAATCTCCCCCTCCTTATTGTGGAGACACAGCTGGAAGGAAGCGGATCAAACGCAGGAGGGGATGCAAATTTTTGTGAGTGTCGCTATGGGGGTACTGTTGGCTTAACGGGATTAGGGAACTTTGGAGAGAGAGAGGGAGAGAGAGAATCGGTCGAATTTCCTCAATAACCTCAAATTTTTTTCTCTAGCTCTCTCTCTCTCTCTCTCCCTCTCTCTCTCTCTCTTTTGCCCCTTTAATCTCCCAAGCTAATTCTGGCTATTGTTCCCACCCAAATAGGGCCGATGAAAAATTGATAGGCCGAATGAATAGACCCCAGAAGACCCACAGGTGGGCCAGAGGGACAGCGAGAAAGCGAGAGAGCGAGAGAGAGCGAGAGAGAGATAGAGAGAGAGTGAGAGAGAGAAAGCGAGAGCGCGAGAGAGAATGAGAGAGAGAAAGCTGGCAAAAGAACGTAAAGATCGTATAGCCCTTCCCGGATGTTTGTTTGTCTCGGATATCAGGTAATCCGCCCTCTTTTATATGCCGGCTACTCACGGCTACAATTGCCATTGGTCAATGACAAAACGTAGGGGCTGGCTAGCCGGGGTCATTTGGGAATTTCTCTCTATCTCTCTCGCTCTCTCTTTCTCTCGCTGTCTCTCTCCTACCGCAAGCTTGCAAAGAAACCTTCTCCCAAAAACCTCCTCCTCCTCCTCAAATTTCACCCAAAAATTGTACAAATCTTTCACGGGCACCTTTTTTCCAAATCCTCGCGCGGGGGTCATGCAATCTGTGTAAACACCGCCCAGCTGTGGGCAACCCGTCCGAAATTCTATTTGTTGCCCCCGGGGGGTGGACAGGTGGAGGGGAACGGATGTGGATGGAAGGGGGTGAAGCATTAGCACCCATGAAGCCATACAAATAGCCCAGGGTGACGCTAGCAGAGACCATTTGGGAATTGCGAGAGGGAGGGCAGGCCAGCAGAAACCATTTGTAGATTGAGATAGGGGGGCAGGCTAGCAGAGACCATTTGTGAATTAAGAGAGGGAGGGCAGGCTAGCAGAGACCTTTTGAAAGTCAGCTAGCTGACGTCTAGGGCAGTACTTTTGTTTTCTGGTTTTTTGAAGGTATGGTTCCATTGCCATGCTGGGCAATGGAATAGGACGAGTTTTCCCCTGCCCTTCCACTCGTCCTGTCGTGTTGTGTGTCGTAATGAATTGGAATGGGGCAAGCCAGGGGGATGGTCGAAAAAAGGGCCATCAAGTTGTCGCGTGCCCCCTCTACCTCTGGATTCTATACAATGCCCCCTCCCCTATGCTCGAAGAATCACAGTTAGCCCCCTTTCTCAATTTGCATAAAACGAATGTAGAGAGGGATAAGGGACCGTTGTTCGGGTGGAAACGAATTGACACGATCGCCCTCAAGGTTAATCGCTTTTTGAGCACGAGGGGGGGAAGTGGAGGGCTGGATTTCAGGGAATAGTGTCAGCTAAACGGTCCTTAAAGGAACTTTGCTAGATTGCCGCTTGCTTCTGGGAGGCCAATGTTCTTCAATGGACAGTGAGAGCGAGACCTCAACGAGAGAGAGAGAGAGAGAGATAGAGAGAGAGAGAGATAGAGAGAGAGAGATAGAGAGAGATAGAGAGAGAGAGAGTGACAGACAGAGAGCGAGAGCTAGCTAGAGCGCAAAAAACTGGGCTTCCATAATGGTCCCGCTAATTACCTAGCCCATTTTCAGCTGATTAAAGGCACAGTGACACCAAAACCCAAAAAAAAATCAAAATCGCGAAATCTTAAAAATCATTTTCAGATTGCCGAGGCGTTACTCTACTGGGGATCATCAGCCCGAGGCCAGGAGAGCCGAATTGCCAACTGGTAAGTGAGAGAGAGCGAGAGCGAGAGAAAGAGAGAGAGAGTGAGAGAGAGAAAGTGAGAGAGAACATGAAAATGACGTTGAGCCACTTCCCAGTTTCTTTAAACCCACAATTTTTCCAATTTCAGGTGGGCTGCCGTGGCGGTGATTGTCTATTGGCTCCAAAGGGCAACTTCAACGACGGCGTCCTCTCCGTGGTTTTGAAGAGGGATGGGGTACGGTATTTCGGTCGTCTTATAGAATCCTGCCTTTTAGCCCACCCAAACCACTCCACAACTTGCCGGGACGGCGGGAATGGATTCTGATGGAAGGCTGATAGGAGGTGGGTCGAATTTGGAGAGTGTAGTTTACATTTCCGAAGTTGTAGTTTTCAATCTATAGTTTGTAGTTTGTAGTCTTAAGTCAATTTATGCATATTTTTTCAGCTCCGGCAGCCACTCCAAAATACACCACTGCAGCCTCGATAACAATCCCTGAGTTTTTCACACCAAGCCGGGCAAGTTCAGGGGATTTTAGTGGATTTGGTAAGTCTTTCTAGGCCCTTTAAACCGAGGATACTGTAGATCCACCCTTCCAAGTCCCTTTGAATCTCAAGATTCCAGAAATCTCCTCAACCACCACCGTACCTCCACCTCCAGATTATGATCATAACGAGAAGCTGTCGAGGGCATTGCAACCTGTTTGGGCTGTCGGATTGGCCATCGTCATCGCCGTGGTCAGTTTTCTGCAAGGAATCTCTGCGAGCCTGCCTTCTCCTAAAGAATCTCTGCTAGCCTGCCTTCTCCTAAAGAATCTCTGCTAGCCTGCCTTCTCCTAAAGAATCTCTGCTAGCCAGCCTTCTCCTAAAGAATCTCTGCTAGCCTGCCTTCTCCTAAAGAATCTCTGCTAGCCAGCCTTCTCCTAAAGAATCTCTGCTAGCCTGCCTTCTCCTAAAGAATCTCTGCTAGCCTGCCTTCTCCTAAAGAATCTCTGCTAGCCTGCCTTCTCCTAAAGATCTCTGCCAGCTTTCCACATAACCCTAATTTTCAGGTGTGCGTCGGATTGAGCCTCGGCCTCCTATCCGCCTATATATGCTACAAAAGGCAAAAGAATCGGAAGCAACGTGCCGAAATCACAAGGCCAAAATTACCCACATTACATGCTTTTAATACTGCATATTAAGCAGCTTGCCTTCCTTAATCCCTTAAACCTAAATTAACTCCTCATCCCTTAATTCTGGCTGATTTTTTTATTTATTCCAGGTGATTTCAATAATTTAAGCTGGCTCTTTTTCTCGCTTTCTCTCTCTCTCTCTCTCTCTCTCTCTCTATCTCTCGCTCTTTCTCTCGCTCAACACCCCATAATATTCCATTCCATTTTATACCCCGTGCCCGTCCGTTCAGTTGTATTCCCGCGTAGCCATCCGCCCCAGAAAGTCTCTTCACTCTATTCTGTGCCATTTACGGGTATTAGATTCATATTTGCATAAATATTTTTTGAACGAGCTTCTACAAGCTACAAAAATGATCATTGCTTGCATGCCCTTAGTCTCTCTCGATTCCCAAATGGCCTCGGCTGGCTGGCCTTCAGATTTAGCTAAAATTAGCTGCTTTTGCAAGCTGATTGATGGCTCCGGATGGCCATGTGGTGATAGCAATGTTTTTGAGAGCCACCGCTTATCTCTATCTCTCTCTCTCTTTCTCTCTCTCTCTCTCTCTCTCTCTCTTTCGCACACTCTCTCAGCCTCATCCCGTATTTATTCACGTGCAAGATACCCGATTCAAAGCCTACTATCACATCCAAAAAAGTGAAAATCAGTCAGAACACAAATTTAAACTTTTTTAGGGGCTTTAGAAGTCACGGATGACTTGAATGGCCCTTTAAAAGTTCCGTATCACTCATGGCTACACGGAAAAACTATGTACAATTACGCTATAAATACAGAGACGTTTGAAGGTCGATTTTCGGGATTATCCAATTTTTCTGGATAAGCAAGATCTCTATTACGGTGGCTGGTAGATCCAGAGATCCTCGAACGGCCAGCAGTCCATATCGCGTGAGTACGGGAATTCTGGAATTGTCGGGATTATTTGTCGAACGACGGGATTTTCAGTATTTGAAGGGGGTGGGAAGTTCTAGGATCGACCCCTCCTGTCCACTGGGTCACGACAGTTACGAGTTACGCCTGAAGACGCGTGAAAGCGCGTCGGGGGTGGATTTTAGATTAGCTATAAAAATTGCGGTCCCATTTAAAACCACAGCGAATCCAAAGCCAATAAACCCAAAAACCCGCCTTTCCTGGCCCTTTGAAACGCGAAAAACTACCGTATCTGTGTCTCCGCCGTCTCGCTCGCCCTCTCGGGCCATCGACAGCTACATATCGCTCCTCGAGACGTAGCAGCCGGGCGATACCGTAGCCCAGAAGGCAGAAAAGGAATAGATAGAGGGCTATGTCGATCCACATGCATTCACTGCAAAGATAAATGACTTTCAAAGCCAAAAAAGTAAGAAAAATTATCAAAACAAGTTTAAAACGTTTTAAAACAAGGCTCGGAGTACCCTCGGGACAAAAAGCAAAAATTAAAATTGTTGGCCGGAATCGAACGCGGGACATGAGATTGAAAGACCGCTGCCTTAGCCAGTAGGCCGCGCAGCAAGAGGAGAGGATGGCCGGTGGGGGGCCCCAAAAAGATAGGGTGGCGCTCCAGGACCATATGCAGAGCTCTTTAGAGATGAATTCCAGTCAAACCGATTACGCCATTAAATACCCCACGGTTATCGGAGTCTAGCGGAACTCACGATTAACACTGCCCAACCCCCCTTAGATCCAGTGAGGCCATGAAATGTGGGGTGACCGTTGGGGGTGGGGATCGAACTTGATGAAATGGACCCTTTAGAGGCGAGAGAACACCGAGAGTGAGAGAGACTAGAGAAAGAGAACCCAAGAGGACAAGATGTTTATATTCTGGGTGATGGGCATGTGCAATTCCCGGGGTGTTGTCCGGTTCGCTTGGCCCACGTGCGCCTTTTTCCCGTGTATCCGCTTGTTGTCTCTAGGTCTCTCTCCCACCCTCTCTCTCTCTCTCTCTCTCTCTCTCTCTCTCTCTCTCTCGCTCTCTCTCTCCCACTCTCGCTCTCGCTCCCTATCGTCGGCTAATCGCACCCAATTTTTGCGGGGCGAACTGATATTGGAGGCTGTCAAGTGGAATCTATTGGGTTATGGAGGATGGAAAAGGGCAAAATAGACTCGAGCTAGGGTTTTTCGGTTTTAGGTTTTAAATGTATATTTATTGCAATTTTCGGTAAGTATAAACAGTATTACAACAATCACAAAAGATATTAATTTTAAATTATGGTTTTTGATCATAAAAATTGTTCGAATTTTCGAGAAGGTGCTTAGAAGCTTTATTTTTGGCAGGTTATGATAGTAACTTTAATAACATTAATATTGTAGTAATATAACTTTTCCTGGCTTAAAAAGCCATGTGAAATCCAAAAATTGAAATATGGGGCTTCCCCGACTCCCTGCGATAGAGGACGACTGCACTTTCAGGACAGCGCCACTCGAAAAAGGGCACCGGGAACACCCGCTTTCCCAACATTAGACTCTGTAGATTTAGGTATTGAAAGGGAGGCTGGCAGCTAGCAGAGATTCTTTAGGAGAAGGCAGGCTAGCAGAGATTCTTTGCGAATTGATTTGCAAAAATCTCCAAAAAATCTTTATTCATTCCAAAAATAGCATCAAATTTTTTAGCGCGGAGACCCATGCAAACAGACACGTAATGGTCAAAAAAGGAAAGAAAAAGTAAAATTTCGTAAAATTTCAAATTCAAAATTATTTTGAAGGAACCGGGTAAGCAAAAACTTGTAAAATCTATAAAAATGACAAGACGAAATCACAAAAATTGCAGCCGGGCTGGGGAAAAATGCAAAAAAAAACGGTGAGATTTGCGCGCATTTAAAGGGCGGTTGAAGGACTTTTGGTTGGCAGATGGGGTAGCAAACACAAAAATAAAAAAAGTGAAAAATATCATTTGAAATTTCGAAAAAATTAAAAAAGGTTCTATGGTTTTCTTCGACCCTTGCAGGCCTGAATAATTGGGGAGAGGAGAGACATGGCACAAGGAATTAAGAGAATACCATGGAGGAGGCAGAGAGAGACGCAGAGGACCATGATTCGGACGAATACCTGAAAATAGGGGAATAATCGATGGTTTCCGGAATGATCTCTGCTAGCTTGCCTTCTCCTAAAGAATCTCTGCTAGCCTGCCTTCTCCTAAAGAATCTCTGCTAGCCTGCCTTCTCCTAAAGAATCTCTGCTAGCCTGCCTTCTCCTAAAGAATCTCTGCTAGCCTGCCTTCTCCTAAAGAATCTCTGCTAGCCTGCCTTCTCCTAAAGAATCTCTGCTAGCCTGCCTTCTCCTAAAGAATCTCTGCTAGCCTGCCTTCTCCTAAAGAATCTCTGCTAGCCTGCCTTCTCCTAAAGAATCTCTGCTAGCCTGCCTTCTCCTAAAGAATCTCTGCTAGCCTGCCTTCTCCTAAAGAATCTCTGCTAGCCTGCCTTCTCCTAAAGAATCTCTGCTAGCCTGCCTTCTCCTAAAGAATCTCTGCTAGCCTGCCTTCTCCTAAAGAATCTCTGCTAGCCTGCCTTCTCCTAAAGAATCTCTGCTAGCCTGCCTTCTCCTAAAGAATCTCTGCTAGCCTGCCTTCTCCTAAAGAATCTCTGCTAGCCTGCCTTCTCCTAAAGAATCTCTGCTAGCCTGCCTTCTCCTAAAGAATCTCTGCTAGCCTGCCTTCTCCCTAAAGAATCTCTGCTAGCCTGCCTTCTCCTAAAGAATCTCTGCTAGCCTGCCTTCTCCTAAAGAATCTCTGCTAGCCTGCCTTCTCCTAAAGAATCTCTGCTAGCCTGCCTTCTCCTAAAGAATCTCTGCTAGCCTGCCTTCTCCTAAAGAATCTCTGCTAGCCTGCCTTCTCCTAAAGAATCTCTGCTAGCCTGCCTTCTCCTAAAGAATCTCTGCTAGCCTGCCTTCTCCTAAAGAATCTCTGCTAGCCTGCCTTCTCCTAAAGAATCTCTGCTAGCCTGCCTTCTCCTAAAGAATCTCTGCTAGCCTGCCTTCTCCTAAAGAATCTCTGCTAGCCTGCCTTCTCCTAAAGAATCTCTGCTAGCCTGCCTTCTCCTAAAGAATCTCTGCTAGCCTGCCTTCTCCTAAAGAATCTCTGCTAGCCTGCCTTCTCCTAAAGAATCTCTGCTAGCCTGCCTTCTCCTAAAGAATCTCTGCTAGCCTGCCTTCTCCTAAAGAATCTCTGCTAGCCTGCCTTCTCCTAAAGAATCTCTGCTAGCCTGCCTTCTCCTAAAGAATCTCTGCTAGCCTGCCTTCTCCTAAAGAATCTCTGCTAGCCTGCCTTCTCCTAAAGAATCTCTGCTAGCCTGCCTTCTCCTAAAGAATCTCTGCTAGCCTGCCTTCTCCTAAAGAATCTCTGCTAGCCTGCCTTCTCCTAAAGAATCTCTGCTAGCCTGCCTTCTCCCAAAGAATCTCTGCTAGCCTGCCTTCTCCTAAAGAATCTCTGCTAGCCTGCCTTCTCCTAAAGAATCTCTGCTAGCCTGCCTTCTCCCTAAAGAATCTCTGCTAGCCTGCCTTCTCCTAAAGAATCTCTGCTAGCCTGCCTTCTCCTAAAGAATCTCTGCTAGCCTGCCTTCTCCTAAAGAATCTCTGCTAGCCTGCCTTCTCCTAAAGAATCTCTGCTAGCCTGCCTTCTCCTAAAGAATCTCTGCTAGCCTGCCTTCTCCTAAAGAATCTCTGCTAGCCTGCCTTCTCCTAAAGAATCTCTGCTAGCCTGCCTTCTCCTAAAGAATCTCTGCTAGCCTGCCTTCTCCCTAAAGAATCTCTGCTAGCCTGCCTTCCTAAAGAATCTCAGCCTGCCTTCTCCTAAAGAATCTCTGCTAGCCTGCCTTCTCCTAAAGAATCTCTGCTAGCCTGCCTTCTCCTAAAGAATCTCTGCTAGCCTGCCTTCTCCTAAAGAATCTCTGCTAGCCTGCCTTCTCCTAAAGAATCTCTGCTAGCCTGCCTTCTCCTAAAGAATCTCTGCTAGTCTGCCTTCTCCTAAAGAATCTCTGCTAGCCTGCCTTCTCCTAAAGAATCTCTGCTAGCCTGCCGTCGTTAAAGGGACGGCCAAGACACTCTGGTTGGAGCCGATAGACGATTACGCGCTCGAATTTAAGCTGTTGCTTTCACGCGTAGAAAATGACCATGACAACGGCCAGAAATCCACAGCCAAACCTTGTCAGTCCCTTTAAACCTCAAAAAGCGTAAAAACAAACCCTCGATGTGTAAATATCAGCAAAAAGTAGCGCAACGACGCAAAGATTGGTCGATATCGCCGCCTGTATGGCCGGAAAACCAACTGAAGCGAGGCAATACCGGAGTCGTGTCTTTACCGTAACCTCGCCTGTCAGGTGGGCATCTGAAAAACAGCTCGAAATCTCGAGTTTGATTGGTGCTACCATACCTGCCATATGAAAATGATATGAGACATGGGCCGGAATATCGACTGAGAAGCCGACGGAGATGACCAACGACGCCATCACGATCGGATCGAGCTCCATGCCGAGGAGGGCGTTGATGCCGAGGATACCTGGAGGGAAAGATCAGTAATAGAAAAATTAACTTATACTAAATGTTTAGATTTTATTTATTATGATGTGTTTATTTATTAGCATTATGCAGGATTCAGAAAGGTATGGATCTAATCTCATTAATCTAAAGCACCGTAAAACCCCATACTTCTACCAAAAAGCAAAAAGTTTGCCGCGTCCTGGGACCGAACCAGGACCTTTTAAGCGGCAGGGTCTCCCGAGGCTTCAACAGGGCCTGCCATTCCCCCTCTTTGCCTCCCCTCTTAGCCGATTGGTAAAGCTCTCGCGTCTCGCCCACAAGATCCAGGTTCGACTCCCTTCCGCGGCAAAACTTTTTGCTTTTTGCCCAAAAACTTTGGAGTAGTTTTAGCTGCTTTTTAAGCGTTTGCAGTCCTTTTAAGAAGCTTCAATCCCTTACCAGCCATGACCGATGCAATCGCGGCGGTTGACACGCACACTGTGAAAAAGTCGAACATGAACACGAAACAGATCAACGCCATGCAGCCCAGAGTTCCGGCGGCCGACTGAATTTCTGTGTTCTCTGCTTTTCGGGTTTTGGACGAACCTGCCAGGTGTCGGTCGGCATATTGTCCATGAAATCGATGTAGATGGCCTCGTCATAGAAGACTGAGCAGTTGAATTCGGCCCTAAAAATTTGTATTAAATTTTATGCGAATTATTATTTCATAGCGCTATTATAAAATATCAATTCAGCACAACCGTCAAATTTTCAGCTTTCAAAAAGCCAAAAAATTTAATTTTTCACAAAAACCTGAAAACTTCCGGTCAGGTTTTTTAAAAATTGCGAAAAAACCCTAGACCCAAAAATCAGTTGTTTTAATGAGCAAACAAAATTTTTATTGTTTAAACAAATAGGCCAAATAAAAATAATATTTAATATCTACAAAAATTAGAAATTTATAAATTTTAATTATGCTAATTTTATAAATACTTTTGATAATTTTAGAAAAAAAAATAGAATTTTATAAATAGCAATTTACTACGCACTTGTACTTATCGACGACGCCTCTCCATGCCTTCATTGCGATCGACCGCGTTTTCCACTCCAGGAACTCTTTGCCGTAGAAGGCTGTCGTGAAGAAGAATCGGTCCAGGTGGGTGTTATTCCTAAATCGATATTTTTAGTTGGTGCTTGGTCTTTAAAGGGAGCACGACATCAAGCGCTTGCCAGCCCCTTTAAAACTTTTACACTCACTTCTCATCCTGGCTCAACCTCACGAATCCACGCCAGAATTTCGTCTCGGCCCATTCGATAAAAGCGGGTAAGGCGTTCGGGTCGAAGCCGGAAACCGCCGGCTTTTTCTCTTTCACAGAGGTCTCTTCAGGTGCCTCACTCTCTTCATCCACTTCCACTTGATCATCTTCATCACCTCCGCCTTTCCGGTACTCCAGGAAATCGCTGAAAAATTGAGGATTTTGAGGTATCCTTGTCCTAAAGATTCTCTGCTAGACTGCCGACTCCTAAAAAACCTCGGCTAGTTTGCGCCTAAAAATCCTTAAAGGGGCTACGAAATGCCAAGAATTGAGTGACGGCCCGAAAATCGGAGGCCTGTACGTCGGAGGCCTCTGTACACCCAGGGGCCCGGGAAGCTCGCTAATTTGAAATTGCCTGGGTACCACGACACTTGCGCCGCGGACACTTGCGCCGCGACACTTGCGCCGCGACACTTGCGCCGGCGACACTTGCGCCGCGACACATGCGCCGCGACACTTGCGCCCGACACTTGCGCCGCGACACTTGCGCCGCGACACTTGCGCCGCGACACTTGCGCCTGACATTTGCGCCGCGATACCGAGTTTCGGCTACTTGAAGATGCAATTTTTCGCGCGGAGTATTCTGGTTAAAGAAACGATAGAAAGATGTTTTTGCGCTAGGAGTCACTCGATTTGGAGGGAAGGTAATTGCTACTTCTTCCGCTCTGCGACTAGAAAAAGGCTTCGTGCCACCCGGGGCCTAGTCGCTTCGGATGGGCGCGAGCTCGTACAGCGTTTCGAAATCGGGGCGCCCGAGGCGCCCGTAGCGGCCAGGCGCCCCGATTTCGAAAGAGTGGAGCGGCAGCCCATCCGAAGCGACGGCCCACCTTGCCTGACGCCTTTAGGAGCGCTCCGAATTGTCGTTACTCACTTTCTGTCAGCTTTTAATGCAAAATACAGTAATTACATACAAAATTCGCGCGAAATACCAAATTCACTACAGTTTAAATCAATGTACGATCCGCGGCGCAAGTGTCGGGCGCAAGTGTCGCGGCGCAAATGTCGTGGCGCAAGTGTCCGCGGCGCAAGTGTCGGGCGCAAGTGTCGCGGCGCAAGTGTCGCGGCGCATGTGTCGCGGCGCAAATGTCGCGGCGCAAGTGTCGCGGCGCAAGTGTCGCGGCGCAAGTGTCGGGCGCAAGTGTCGGGCGCAAGTGTCGCGGCGCATGTGTCGCGGCGCAAATGTCGCGGCGCAAGTGTCGCGGCGCAAGTGTCCGCGGCGCAAGTGTCGGGGAGCCCAAATTTGATGCTTAAAACAGCAAAACTGTTTAAAATTAAGTGAGGATTTCAAAAATGGGCTCAGCATGCACAAGTTATAGTGTTTTCACAAAGAAACCGGGCAAAAACAACTTCGCGCAAAAATCGAAAGCGTGAGGGCTCTCGTCCCGTAGCGCCCGCTGGCAATTTGCCAGAAATCAAAGAGCCCCATCCAAAAGGGGCTGATTTGGCAGTTCGAAGCCCCTTTAATAACTTACCGTACGAAATAATTCGTGCTTATCG